ATGAACCTGGACTTACCTTTGAAAACCTTCATGGCTGGTGTGATGGAAACAAGAGAGAGGGGGGCTATTGTGTAGGATGACTTTCACTGTCGCTGAAGGAATCACTGCTATTTATTGGCTCAATAGAATCTTTTTCTTTTTGTGCAGCTTTAACAAGAATCCTAGCCAATGACACTTGTTTTTGCCTCCTTTTCAGGATTTTGCAGAAGTGTGACAATGCATTGTTAAGGCGATTCATCCCTCGCACTGCTACAGCCTTATTTGGGTGGTGCTTTTCTACAAAATTTTGCACTGTTTCTCACATTTTCCGCATCTCCCTAATCTTATTTGAAGTCAAGGGCTCCTCTACCTTTTTCTCCTCCTCTGCAGAGGAGCTCTCCTCCAAAACCTCTTGCTGTTGGGAAACCATCATCCACAATCCTACAGGAAGAAAGAGAGAGAGACACACACAGAGAGGGGTGGATGGAAAAAGAGAGAGAGAGAGAGAAGAACCATTGGCTCAGTTGTGCTCAAGAAACATTCAGCATCATGTCCTACTCTTATTGCAAGACATTGCTTGTTTATCAAGTTAAAATTTATTAGAAATATTTGCTTCTCTTGCAGAACAGTCATAGAACAAGTTCCTCACAATTCAAGGTTTTACTGTGCTTGGTATGGTGTCCCATAAATCTCCTAGGCTTTAAACTTATTTTTGTTCATTATTTTTGTTTTGTTTTGTTTCCCCTTCAACTGGACAATTTCAAATGATCTGTCTTTGAGTTCACAGATTCTTTCTTCTCTTCAGTCATGTCTGGTGTTGAGGTTCTCTATTGCCCTTTTTCATTTTATTGATTGTGTTCTTCAGTTCCAAAATCTCAGTTTGGTCATTTTTTTTGCAGTTTGTCTCTTTTATTAAACTTCTCATTTTGTTCATGTCTTAATTTCCTTATTTTGTTGAGATAGCTATTCTATACTCTCTTGCAACTTGTAGTACTTCAAGAACTACAGGTACCAGGGGAAGAGCGGAAAGGAAAGGGGACACAAAACAGAATTAAGATAAGTCATATATATGTACCAAATATTCACAACGAAAGTAGTCTTTCTGTATCACAAACATGTACTAATAAATAAAGTTTTAAAATCATGTTGAATTTTTGTCAGTCAGTTTGTAAATTTCCATTTCTGCAGGGCCATGTGCAGGCCCCCAGTCCCAGGGTGAGGGTATGCCTGAGTTACACAGAGATTTGGGAATGTCTGTGGATCAGTTGACGGGGTCCACAGGCAAGATGTCCGAGGTGGCTCCTGGGCAGGCTTCCTGATGATATTTGTAAAGTGGTCAGTAAGATCCAAAGCCCTTTGTTGAGTTCCCAGCTCTGGTTTCTACAAATTTCTGTCTCTCTTCTCTGCTCCCAGTCTTTCCCTACCTTTCAGCCACACCAATGACCTCAGTATTGAGGATGAGGATAGAAAAAAGTGGGCAATGTCCCACAGAGCTGACCAAGCTAGGTGCTTACCAATAAAGCTCTCACTGTCCCCCTTGGGAGACACTGCTGGCTAAAGTGGTCTTTCTGGCACTGACCTTGCTCCCTTGGGGAAGAGGTGATGCAGATAAAGTTAAACGATTCTTCTTACACTCTTCAATATATTTTCTTGGAATTTTTTCTCCAGTGATTTACTGGGACAACTCCACTGGACTCCTGAACTTTTATAAAGGTGCTCTTGCCTGGAGGTAATTGTCAAAATTGACATTTCTCTAGAAAGACAGTCATCGAAAACTCTTATCCCAACACCTTGCTGATGCTACTTTATTGATAAAAAGCTATTTTTATACCCAAAACATTCCTGTGAGGTAAGCATCTTATTGTTCTTTCATTGACTAGATAGGGTAAGAGATCTATCCTAGGTTAAGTAGCCAGAACAATGTTAACATGGAATTGGAGGCCAAGGATGTGTCACTACAGAGCCTTGTGCAGTCTGGGACACCACATTGGCCTCAATTCTGTCCATCCATTCAATGAACAGACCCATGCTGACTGCTTTTATAACAGAATCCCTTCATATGATTTGCAGATAGGAGAGTTCAACATATCAATTCTTTAAGGTACTTAATGTTCCAGAAATACTCAAATGTTACTGAGACCTTGGCAAGGTATTTAAGAATGTTCACAAGAGCATTGTTGACCTTAGAGTTAGCCCTTGACTGTGTTTAGCTGTTCAGTTCCAACAGAAATAAAAGCCAAAAGAATTTCAGCAACAGAAAGCTTTCCCCTTAGATGCCCACCCCCAGATTAATGACACACAAATCTTTATGCCAGTACTTTCAAGGACTTCTCTCCTTGATTTACTATTTGAAAAATCAAAATATTGTGAACTTTCAAAGGTTGTTTTTCTGATGACAAGCAAAGAGATTAATGGATTGGTTTTTTTACTGTTTATTTTGTTTTGGTTGAGATCTAAGGGTTATTTTACATCCCTGAGAAATTCCAAGTTGCCCTCCAAGCTCTTATCTGACATGTAACCAATTTTTGAGTCTGGCTGGGCTTATCCAGGATATAACTACAGATTGTTCATTGTCAGAGAAAAGATTTTTTGCCCCTAGAATTATATATGTATATCTCTCAGAGGACTCCTAGAGGAGAAATGATCAATGAGGGGCTGTGTGCTCGTTCACAAATGTCAGTGCACCCTTTTTTTCCTGCTGACTGCTAGGTTTTTCTGAAAGTTTTAAAAGAAAGAAAAGTTACTATAAGTTACTGTATATTTTCTCATCATGCTTCGAGTGGGGTTAAACAGGACTCATAAAAAATACACTGATTGGCACTAAGTTCCCAAATCTCTGGGACATTACTTTTTCTATACTCAGATTATTATTACTGGTCTACATTTTTTAATTTTCTACAAAGTATAAAAGTATGTTTCATCACTAAGTTATAATTACCTATTGTCACATTGCATTAGTTTATCAGAGTTCTTATCATACCTAGGAGATAGTAAGGTTTTAGAGGAATGCTAATAGGACTGGCAAACTTATTCTTGCTTACATTAAGAAATATTCATTGCACTGAGTCATTTCCAAGAGTACTCTTCCAGATGTGACACAGAATTGGGAGACACTGGACAGCTGGGTGTGTTTATGAGACTGAAGGATTTAGGTGAGCCACTTTGATTTTATTTGTCCTATGTCACATCAGTTTTAGGGAGGTTCCAATGACTCCCTTATGGTGAATCTGTAGAATCTTCCTACCAAGATTTATACAGACTTCTTTAGGACTATATAGCTCTCCTAGAATGGAAAATATAAAGCCATTCCACAGAAGAGCCCTTCTTGGACCTCCTAACCTCTGAGTGGGCAAGAACTAAGTCTCTTGATCACCATTGTGCCTCCCAAACACTATTACATGTGACCCATAATAGATACTCAAAAATATTGGTTCAATTCAGAAATGTGAGCACTGACAAAACACATGGAATTGAACTTCTAGACCAGATGTCACCAGGTAAACACTACGTGCTTCAGTGTCATGTGTGGGAGAAATTCATGTTTGGGTTCTGGAAGAATCTTGTTCCTTCTCCACTATGGAAATAATAAATGCACTACAAATTCTCAATGTTTATAAGACCATGAATTTCCCCCTCAAAGGGAGCTTTCTTGCATAATGTTTACCAAGAATTTCACTGGCATCAGGTTTGATAAGATCCTTGCATAGCACAGCTTCAAGAGATCATAGGCAGACATCAAGCCTCTGTCCCATTGAGGATGTAGGTAGGTAATATCAGCCCACTTGGCTCTTCCTCTTCTCCCAGGGAAGATACTAGAGATTGGGTGGCAATAAATAGTGTTAAGCTATTAGCCACATGGAAATGGAGGGGAAAGGTGGATATCTGGTCCTCACATTTTCTGTCTAGGCTAATGTCCTCTGAGACACTTTCTCCTTCCTTACTTTTAGCCATTGTTCCACACGGGTCTCCAGTTTCTCTTTGACTCATGGCTCTTTCAGCTTGGGTGGCTCCCAAGCCACTCCTGAGACATGCTTAACATTGTGGGATTTATTTTGCTTCCTCCATGTGACCATCTCTGCAAGCCTGTTTCTGGTTCTTTCTTTGGTCATTTGAATCTTCCTTGCTCTTGACCCTCACCTTCAGCCTAAGGAAACTTTGGAAGCATTTTTAATGGAAAAGCTGATTCAAAGTGTTCTTTTTGGAGCTGAGATAACCCAGCTCCTTGAATTAGGTGCATGATGGAGAGGGAATAAAAGGAAATTGTACTCAAAGTGTTTTTCAAAGATAGCTGCAGTTATCTTTTCTGTCCTTTTCCCCTCCTCCTTTTTAATGTGACTTGTCTACTTCTTCAGCAAGAGGGAAGTCTGTTTCACTTCTCCTTGACTCTGAGCTAACCTTGTGTCTTACTTTGACTAAGAGAAGGTAGAGGTATTGATGTGTATGACTTTTATATTGAGGCTGCAAATGTCCTTGCAGCTTTACAATCATCCTCTTGCAGTGCTTCCTGATCAGAAAGAGCCTAGGGTAGTCTCCCTAGAGAAGAGAGGTCACATGGAGAAAGAGGCTCAGTGACAACCAGGACCAATTTCCTGACATAGTGTGAGGTCACCTTGCACTTCTCCCAATTTGAACCATCAGACCACTGATGATACAGGACCCCAGGCAAAAGCAACAGAATAATCTACCTCTGAACCCAGCCCAACTGCTGACTCACCAACCCATACCTAGAACTACAGTTATTTTAAGCCATTAAGAGATAAAGCAATTTGTTATGAGTCAAGAAACCGATACAGATATGAACACCAGGAAGGGCAAATCCAGGCAATGTCTCCATGTATTACTGTGGTACAGTTATGACTTGAGCTTAATGCCCAAACATTTCAGCCACAGACTATTTGCCAGAAAAATTTGCAGCATTTACATGTGGGCATTTCTCCAAGAATCCTGGAAGAAAAGATAGAGTGCTATAAAAGGATGACCTCTTGGTATTAACATGAGTCCCAGGAGAAGTATAGGGAATGGTAATCAACTCAGCAAGAATTTATTGATTTCCCTATGTTATGTCAATACTCGTGGTATGGAAACATCAAAATAATCCCATCCATCAAAAAGTTTACAATCTACTTGGTGAGGAAAAATTAGGGCAACATTTTTAAACCAATTTTCCTTCAAAACTAGTTACATCTTTGAAGCTAACCCTGAGAGGCTCTCCTGCAGCTTAAGCACTGTCGCTCCTAACACTTTTATTATATTAGCATAGCTCCCCAAGAACAAAGCTATCAGCACACAGCATTTATGACATACCGATGTAAATATCCCCAATAATTTATTTCCTGTATAACTTCTATTGATCATGAAAACTCCTATGTGATCTGTGTGTTAGGTCTGCAGGTGCTTGGTGATATTGATCAAGTAGATTCCTTTGTGAAAAGCTACATTGATTGGTTTCCTGACACTCTGTTAAGGCCACTTGCAAAGCTGTTACTCGAGACACTTGTAGTCAGAGGAGTGGGATTCACCCATAATGTCTTTCTGAAGGGAGACTGAATGGAAGATAGATGGATGCGGACTGCTTTCTCTGTGCTAGTTAAACACGTAGTGATCCATCTCCTGGCTCCTTTTCCATGGGAAGAAAATTAATATCCAGGCAGTGAACACTCTCCTCTGTCCTTGGAAAATCCACCTGAAACATACAAGGATAAGGGAGACAGTGTTGGTCATTTTAGCAGCCTGTTTCACCTACACCATTGGCAAAGGCATTCTCTGCTGCTTCTTTGCAGAATGTCAACTGCTAAAATAAATAAAGAAGAAAAAAGAAACAAAAGTCCCAAACAGAACCCCAAATCTGTATGGAAGACAAGAAGTATGCTTTGTCGTGAAAAATACAATGTGAAAAGAGAGGAGTTAGAACAATGGTCCTCAGTGCTTTCTGCCAAAAGAATACAAGATCACAAGTACAAAGGACATGTGGCAATTCCTATTTCTTTACAATTGAAATTAATTAACAGCTTATGCACCCAAAAAAGAACAAAAGCATAGTTAAACCTTGCCCTTCACATGAGCTAAGCAAACTTTGGGGCAGAGAGGGGGCAGGGAGCTAGCACTGGTTCTAGAATCTGATGGTTGCTGAGGCAGCTTTCCCCAAAGCATGTTTTTTAGAACCTATTCCCCTGAAAAGGAATTTGCAAGAATTTCATAACTGACTAAGTTGGACTAACAGTTGGACTATGAGTATTTTTACCTGAGTAACTCCAGATAAAAGAAGTCTTTGGAGTTACATGGCATAGATACTGGCCAGGCTTATGATCTCTTGTGTCAGTTTGATATGATATGTAATTCAGCCATAATTAGTCCTTTAATTGGGGGTTAAAATACTTTAGATTGCTCATTTAATAAAAATAATGAGTTAAATTCTGACTCTGTCACTCACTAGCAGTGTGACCTTTGGCAAACTGAGTACCCACGCTGAGCCTCTGTTTTGAGGATTAGGAGAGATACCACATGTACAGTGATTAGTTACTTGCAAGTAATAGACTAATGTTGATTATTAGTACGTTCCAGTAACAGTCATGTACTCTTGTTGCTTCACACCTTAACATTAACATATAATTCTTGTTATTGAGGCAATGATTTTGCTTGTTAAAGAAGGAGCAACTGTAACAAATTAGGAAGCATAACCAAAGATGGGGAGAAAAAAAGATAACAGATCGAACATCCAGATTAAGACTGAAAATACTACAAAAAGAGTTGTTGTCCAGTGTACAACAGAAACAACAAAGATTAAACCAGAGCTGAGGAGTTTCTGGTTTGGTTTTGAGCCGTCTGATAAAAGGAACAATGGTGAAAATCACAGGAACACTTCCTACTCACCTAATAGGCAAAAAGCCTAAAATTTCTTTTCTATGGGTCTTCAGAGTGCTCCCTGTAACAACCATCCTGACCTCTGTGCTTTTCTGGACAAGCACCATAGGCAGAGAGATCAAAAGACTGAGCAACGCTTCCCACGGGGACCCTCGTGCAGGAAAAAAGTAACTTTTTTTTAAAAAAGGAAAATAATCATAGATAAAGGAGATGGTTTGTAGTATTTTGAATTTGTAAATCCTATAAGGTAGGATTTACCAACATGATCTCTTATCCTGGCTGAGATGTACTGAAAAGCCATACTTGCCCCAATTTGGTAGTGAAGGAACCTAAGACTAGTAGTCATTAATTTAAGATGACATAGTCGGTACCAGGAAACTCTACTCAAACCTGCGTCTTTGACCATCTAACTCTAATCCTTTTTTTTCTTTTAACCTACAATAAATGTAGTAATAATTCAAGTTCAGAAAATAGCAGAAAAGAGACACTAAAAATCTGCCCTGAAATTGGTTGGAGTCAACATTCTGTGGGTTGATGGTGAGTTACCAGGAAAATGAATGCAAGTAGACACCATCTTAAGAAATAGGCAAGCAAAGTCAACATAATCCAAGACAAATATCTATGGGATTCTCTTGTCTATAGGATTGTCCCTGCTCTTGCAGAAGTGGACTGTGACAAGACACGACCCAAGACTCTTCTTATATCTGTTAGCTCCCAAAGAGGTTGGGACTCACTTTTCTGGATTGGTTTTGTAGTGCTGGGATGAAACCCAAGGTCTTGTGCACACCAGGCAAGTGCTGTACCACTGAGCTCCATACATCCACAGCCCCGTACTCAGGTTTCTAAGGACAGGAATATTTTTACTTTTATTATTTTTTAAATCATTTTGTCATATGTAATCTTTTATTAGGTCACAGAATTGACATGTGTTCACCATAACCACTGAGCCCAGTGAATAATGTAAATTCATATAAAGAAAATATTAATTATATTTCCATCTCCCACAAAAGTAAGCATTATACCAGTATGGGGTTTTTCTAGTCACATCTTTTTATATTTTTAAGCAAATAAACATTGATGTGAAGGACTTAGGATTGTTATTACAATTTGGTTTTTTTTCATGTGACAATACATTAGTGATAATCTTCAACTGGATTTATTGTGTTCATTAATAGAGATTTAATTCATATATTTTAGGAAACAATATTTCATAATAGGATTATAGAAGACTGTATCCAATCCTTCCCTTATTTATGAGCATGATGTATTTTTTGTTTTGTTTGCTTTTTCTTTGACAAATAATGTGGTAAATATCTTTGTTTAGAAAAGTCTTGGGGCCATTATTTCATTAGCTAGATTCCTATGAGAGGGATTTATGGGAAAAAAGCTATATATACTTTAAATTTAAAGCATGTTGCTACATTATAAAAATAAAATCCTGAAGGATTAAAGATTTAAATTTTAAACATAAAGTAATAAAATCTTAGCTATACAGAAGATCTTCAACCAGCTACTACAAATCTCTGATTATAAATCATAAGTAAATATAAATCCATATCAAAACCAAGATGATGAAAATTCAACCTTTTAACTAAGTTTAAATTAAACTTGAGGATAAACTCAGGGAGGGAGAGAGAGAGAGAGATTGAGAGAGAGAGTCAGACAGAGACAGACAGACAGAAAAGAGAGTCCAGCAGGCTCTGGGGGAGGCGAGGCAAAATATGAGGAATCCTACTTGATTATGACCCAGTTGAACATCAAAATTCAATGAAGTACCATTATTTTGGGTCCCTGGAAGGAAATTTCAAAATTTCATTTAGATTGGTTTTCACTTAATTTTGAGCTATTTCTATAAACCAGCAGCAGATCCTGGTGTGGTGATCAGGACTAGTATCCACGAGGAGAGTATATGAGGAACAAGTTAACCTTGTCTGACAACCTACAGGAACTTCATTGTTTTGAGTGAGATTTCCAAAATGAGGGAAAGCTGAGCTGCTCTAGTTCATAAGGGAAAATCTAAAAGAGTGTGGAGATATGGGAAAAAGATAACCAGGCACATTAGAAAACAACTGAAAATATTTAATGAGAAAGTTTTGCTGCTAGTGACCAATGTGACTTCTTTAACTCCCCACAAAATAGTCAGAATAGTCTACTTTATTTACTAGTTTTCAGAGCCTGATCCTCATTTGGAGAAGAGGAGGGGTGATAAAGGGAGTATGAAAAAGTGCCAACTCTGTTCTCAGCTGGCCAGGTGTTTCCCAAGGGAGACTCTATCACATTTGTCCAGAGTTTGAAGCACTGTTCAAAAATTGAATTAAAAACAAAATCACATCCCAATCTTAAACCCTTAAACCTCTGGATCAATCATGGTTTACAAAGCATCTAAAGAAAGGAAATTTTTGACCAACTGATCAGAGCAGCACTCAGAATGGAACCACTGATTGAATATTGACCTCAGTAACCAGTGTAATTGCATCTTATTGGCAAATCATTACTAGTTTATCTTAGTGATAGAAGGCATAGATTGAAATTAGAGAGGCATTTACTTCTCTGGATCAAGTGAACAACTAGTAAAACATAACCCTCTGGCCCTTCAAAACATGGTGGAGATGTAGCACAAAGTGAAGGTAGGAGGCTTCCTTGCTAGGAAGATTAGATGGTGGCTTAGCCAGCCTTCTTCAGCTACAGATGATAACAGGATCCTTGCCACCATTTGAGTTCTCACCCTTTCTTCAAAAATACCTCTCCTCAATAAACCTTTCTTTACCTTTCCAGGCTCATGTGCTTTACCCTTAACTATTTTTATTTTGTTCCAGTAAGTACAGTTCAGTGACTAAGAGTTCAATAAGTTGTGCAGTAATTCACATCACCATTTGTCATCACCAGTTTTCATCTTCACACAAACCCAATGAAGTAGGTTTTACTAATTTCTACACTGTAAAAGTAAGGAAAATAATACTTTATTAGAAACAGTCAAAGGTGAAAAATGAATAAGAAAAATAAGTAAATGTAGAAGTTCTAATAAACCGTATAAGCTTAATAGGTAATGAAGCACCCTTGGGATGGGGGGAGGAATACATTCAACTTCACAGGCTATTTATGGGAATTGGTAAACATTTTCTACAAAGGGCCAGATAATAAATGCTAGCCTCTGTTATAACTAATCCATTAACTTTGCTGTTGTCATCAAAAGTAGCCAAAGGACATAAGTAGATGAATGGTGTATTAATCAGCTTTCCTGTCACTGGGGCATAATACCCAGCACCTACAACTTAAAGGAGAAGAGATTTAATTTAATTTGTCTTACAGTTCAAGAATTCTATCTATGGTCAGCTGGCTCTAAGACAGAAATAGCATGGCAGAAAGGTATGGTCAGAGAAAAGGCCCTCACCTCAAGGCAGCCAAGAAGCAGAGGGAGAAGGAAGGAGCTTGGGAGGAAGATATACCCTCCAATGGTGTGCCCCCAGTGACCGACCTCTTCCAACCAAGCCCTAATTCCTAACAGCACTTCTCAATGGATCAATCCACTGATGAGTATAGTACCCCATGACCCAGTCACCCTCTAAAAGCCCCATTTCTTTTTTTAATTAATTTTATTGGTACATTTAAGGTACACAATATAATGACATTCATCATTGGAAATTTGCACCTTTACATAATCCATCTTGGTTCTAATTTTTTCCCCATTTCCCTGCCCTCCCTTCAACCCCTCCATACCTGCCTATCTACAAAGACTTTGTTTCCATTTTTTTCATTTTCTTATATTAATTCCATTCCCTTCTTTCTTTTCCCCTACCTCTCCCACTTCCCCCTTCCCTTTGC